TGCTGCTGCTTTATGTTTGCCACTAGTGCTTCCACAGTTACCGCTGCTGCTGCACTCCTGCATTTCATCAACTAGTGCCTGACCCACACATTGAAGGTTTCACAAGATAGATGTGCCTCTCAAGGGATTTAAGGTTTCTACTAATGTAATGTTCATATGGTAGCTGACTCATTGAAGATCTCTCGTCATATTGTAGCTGATATTTGGCTCCTTTGGATTTGATAAGATGAGATATTTTTTGGACATTATGCCTTTATTTGGTAGGACAGATGAAGATAGACAGGGAGAGAGAGATGATAGGAGACGACCTGCAGAATAATAATTTAAATTGTAAGCTTTAAACCCGCTGAACACATGGCCTAAAATCCTAGTATTTCACCATTACATTAAATATTTATGACTAAATAAGCAACGATCAAAGTAAAAAAAAAGAAAAACGTACATTAAGAGTTTTACATTCAAAAACTCAACTAATCTAATCTATCTAATCTAAAACTAAATAGTGACTGTGTGTGTGTGTGTGTGTGTGTGTGTGTGTGTGTGTGTGTGTGTGTGTGTGTGTGTGTGTGTGTGTGTGTGTGCGTGCGTGTGCGTGCGTGCATATGGCTTGATCAATTATAACTGACAATGACCAAACAAGCCGAACACTGCCACCCCTGTTGCTAAATGTTGAAAAATCCTGATTGCTACACAGAAGTAACATCACAATTTCCATGTGAGTCCCATCCACTTTAAACCAGATAATAAAAAAGAAATACAGAAATCTCTTAATGTAAAATCACTGGATCGCATAACAGGATCCTGTCGCTCATAATAATTAAAGTAATTTCCCCCCGGGGATTATTAAAGTATTTCTGATTCTGATTCTGATTATGATGGGAAGAAAAATGCAGGGCTTTTTTAATTTTGAGTTAACTACTAGTGGAGTGTAGGTTTCTTCCCCCTAGTTTTTGTTGAAAGCCCATGTATAACCACACAGATGCCTTTAATAGGCTTATTTGAGATGAGTTGCTGCTTGCCTGAGAGTAGTTGGTGGCAGATGGGGGTGGTATCAAAAAGCGTGGTCGAACAGCTCGGAGTAGGCTTGTCTCGACTTGCAATGGCAGAGGCAGCATTAGTGTTCTTTGTTGCAGATGAAGTGGATGCATTTGAAATCCCACAATTATTTGGAGTTAATTACTGGCGGTATCTGTATACATTTATAAATATGATGCCATTACCTGACTCATCTGAACTTCACTTAACAGAACAGAAATTGTGAAAGGAACAAGTGACACTATTAGGTTTTTTTCTAATGCTATTTTCCCAAGATACAACAATTTGTGGCCCCACAGTACAGTGCTTAAAAGTCATTTGTGATTGTCCTAGAGATAAAATATGTTTTATTTGGATTGGTCGTTATATTAAAAACCACTTACTCCTTTCTACCACGTAGGATGTGATGATTACCATTGGCCTGTTCTCCATAAACCGACAGCACAAAAACTCCAAAACAGTGTCCTTGCCTGTTTATGGACTCCAATGAAGAGTCATTTAGATGGTTTGCTGATTCTTTTCATCTGACCAAATCCACTGTTTTGGCTGATCCAACATCAGTTGCAACAAAACAAACCAGAGACTGAGGGAGATGTCAGTCAAGCCTACTGTCACACACCCACACAGTCTTGAGACTAGGTCTGATCAAGAAACATAAGTGAAAACACATGTGTGGGTAGACTATGTGCGTGTAGGAGCTTTAGGGATCTATTTATAATACCTCCATCATTTTAGTTTTTGGGGACAAAATGGACAATGTCAACTGTGTACACACAGGTGGACCCCATATAGTCTCTTCAGTGTCCCTCTAATATCGCATACATCATTGTTAGCACAGAACTGCTGCTCACCAATTCAGTCAGGTTTTATAACCACTGTGAGAGTCCCTATAAAGCTGAAACCATGTCCTGATGCTGCTCTGAATTGTAAGAGACAGAAAGAGACGGGAGAAAGTGAGGTAGTGCATGTGCGTGCGTGTGTGTGTGTGTGTGTGTGTGTGTGTGTGTGTGTGTGTGCATGTGGAGTGAAGTGTGTTACAAGGAAAGATTGGATCTGACCCATTAACTTTACAGGCCACTCATTGAGCACCAGTGCAGTAGGGGTCAGTAGGGAGATTTCACTGTAAATCTCTACAACGATCACAATGATAGACCGAGAAAGAGAGAGAGAGAGAGAGAGAGAGAGAGAGAGAGAGAGAGAGAGAGGCACAACTTGCAACACTGTTCTGTCCAAAGCCAAGATAAGTTTCACTAAGGATATCATCTGCTGCCAAGCCAGCCAGCTGGACTTTATTTTCTTCTGTTATTCATTTAAAAGCTCTAAAAAAAAAAAAAAAGGCTTTTGACAACATAGCCATTTTCTGAGAAAGTGATGAAAGTATGTGGGTTGTTTTTTAACCGGGCCTTCTCATATTTCTGCCGTAAGAAAATATGTTTTTATATGTGGCCTTTCTGGTTGTGTCAGGTCTTGGCCTGTGAACCCAAAATATAACCTCAAACAGATAGCTAAGGGGGCTCATATGAGGACACTCTGAGCCTCAGGGAAAACACAAAATTCAGATGTGTGGTGTAGAGGAGGTGAAGCGAGAAGAGGGAAAAAGTCACTGTACCAAACATTGGCCTCAGACCAGGATCTTTCTAGCTCACCCTTTTTGCCCTGCGGCACAGCAGCTTCTTGACTTGGTCGCACCTCAGATCCAACTGCCTCTGCCCACCAAACCCCTGCAGTACTGTGAAACCATTATCTAGCAGGACTTCTAACACACCCACCCTCTCTCTATACCATCTCCCTCTTTCTTTTGACATGAAGTCACACTCTGCAACAAATCTTTCCACTGTAGATTATTAATAATTTATCCCCCTGACCATGCATTCCACTGAATAATTGCTACAGTTATTCATGTATCTGATAATCCATTACCTGGGGAGCATCTACTCTGATAACCCCATCACTGTTGAAAATCTTCTCCTTCCTCCCTTAGCTCTCGAAGGTCTAAATTCCACCATGGTCACAATTATAAATTTATTAGAGCTGCTTTAAGCTGCTTTAAAAATAGTACTGAACCCTACACTTTACCAAGCACAACCCATTACATTCAAAAAATCAATCATTTTGATTATATAGTATAATGATCTCGAAAGCAGGATGTTACTGTATCAGTGATCCTCATTTCATGCACCAGAATTCATTAGCATAGACTTGTGGCTCTAATGCACCCTGCGTTTTGCTTAGACAATCAGATATTCCGCAGTGTAAAGCCAATCACGGTAATGGCTGTAGCCTGGGAATACTGGACGGTCCAATCATCACCCTTGCCTGAGAGTGCCTTTTTCCAGACTTGAAATTTGATATGTGATTGCTGCTTCCTTTTAGTTTTGTTTTGATCATCAGAAAACCACCCACACTGTTCGAGGCTTGATTGTTTGGTGTGTAGCTCACGAGTACTTGACTGCAGCTCTTGTGCTCACTGAGGTCAAGCTCTGTTCTTTAGTGCCTGGTTGTTATTGGTTGGTTTTTGAGTTCGGCTTCAGGGGGCAAGAAACTCTGGGTCAGTTATGACTGACCATTCAACATGGAAAAAATAAAACCACAGCGCATACATAGCGCTGACCTGCCAGATTTACATTAAAACTACATCTTTTATATCAGCCATATTTTTTGTTTGCTTGCTCTAGTACTGCAAAAAAAACAAAAACATGATTTTTCTTTGTTTATGAAGCCTGACCCCTAACCCTCCATTTAACATCACTTTACTTTAGGCTGCTGTAGGATCTAGTAGGAGGAAGAGCAAGCAAGTAATTGTTTACCAAACAGCAGATTAATTGGTGTTAAGGTCCCAGGCTAATTACTGCACAAGAAACCAGATCAGCGACTCATTTATTTATTATCGTGTGTGTGTGTGTGTGTGTGTGTGTGTGTCTACGCTAGTAAGATACCATTATATTTGTGTCACGTGTAGACACACACACACTGGTCAGTTAGCGAAGCAGCAGAGCAGAGGGAGTAATTACACAGTAGGACAGGTCACTAGGCCTGTGGTTCACCTCAACCCTGAACACTGGAGCTATTCTGGACCTCTGGGAAAATAAGAAGGGCTGCACACAGAGGCCAACTTCGGTTATGAGGCTAAGAACATTAATTACTCATAGGGGCAACACAAGAGTGCAGATTAGACTGTAATTGGTGGGTTTGCCTGTGTGCATGAATCAGCGAGTGCCTCTATTGACCACCATATCAGTGACTGATTATAAGGATTGGGTTCTTTTACTCCAATTGCACGGAAAATTACCTACTGCTAATAAAAAATGTGTATTATTTGTTTTGTCCACATGTCAAAGTAATTAAGCACTTGGTAGGGCATGTGAATGTTATGGTCAAATAATGGAGATTACACAGGGGAAGAGAGATTGGGGTTGGGCGCATTCCAGCACAGTGTGTTTGCATACTGTGACCTAGACTTGGTGCAGATAGTGTGTTTGCAGAAAGCCCAGTACTGTTGAGTTGTGATGAGTAAACTATCAGCTAATCCCGTTCTTGTCTGAACAGTCAAAGTTTTACCTTTCGCTTAATCAAGGGAGCTGGTTTCAGATTTCATTTTGTTTTCACCGCTTTGATCGTATTCTGTGTAAATACCTAAACCTGTTATAATGATCCTACATTCAGTGTGGCAGACAGAGAGAGCTAATTGTGGCTTTTAGATTTAGATGTTTCCTTCATGTCATCAACTGGGACTTTCACTTACTGCCTTCCTCTGTGTGTGTTTAGTGCAGACAGAGCAGTGATTTGGTAAAACCAGAAAAACCTCACTATTTTTGGCAGACTGTAATGAGTTAAGTGTTGTTTTCCAGTGTTGCATAATTTTGCTTCCGAGAAAAAGGCTGAACTTGATATTTTGCCATCATATTTCCTAGCTTGGCACAAACACAGATAGACACATAGTTTGTACAAAGAAAACATCCCACCTTTTGCCATGGACTTTCCCAGTTTCAACAGGCTTCACTTTGAGCCATGGGAGGGGGATGGGATGATACAAAACTTGACTCAAGACTGAAAAATCTGTCAGTGGAGAGAGCAAATGAGTTAGACGAACAGATACATGGGCTTATGGGGCAGGCAGTTGATTTGCAGAGACTTTTTTCTAGAAGCACCCAAAAGAGCTGTTACTTTGAAGACTATTATTTTGTAACATCTTCCTTGAATCTGGACACATTAGTCGGTCATATTTCAGTACAGCTGTCACGCTTTGACAGAAAACCTGGTGCAGTGTTTTGTTCACAGGAGATATCTTCACTGTTTTTGTCAGACTGAAGCCGTGTCAGCTGACAGACTGAGCAGCATGTCAAAGGAGGTGAAGCCAGAGAGCGTGTCGCTGTGTCCTCTGGGCATGACAGCTGCCCCTGAGCAGGAGCTGCTGTGTATCTTTGGGACTGGGGACTTTGGCCGCTCTCTGGGCCAGCGTCTGCTCCAGACTGGCTACAGGGTGGTGTACGGCAGCCGCAGACCTCACAGCTGCGGCCCCTTACCCCAGGGAGCTCAGGTACAACATGTTGCATGACATCTTTTCAAACTTTTCTTTCTTGGCTTTTTTATGATGATTGTTGTTGTTGTTTTTGACAGCTGATACTTCAGAAAGTGTGTTGCATGATGGTCCTGAACCAACTCAAATAAGTGTCGTAATATTAATAATAATATTAATAATTTGCAGTGTTTAACAAAACAAGATCAGATGAAAATAAACAGTAAAAACATTGGCAAAAGCATACAAAAACAGTTTGATCACAGTACAATAGAATATTAATAACGATACCAGCAAAGTTAACCCTAAAATGAAAGACAATTTAAAAAGACGGGTCTTCAATTTATTTTCAAAAATTCCAAAGAAATTTGCTCATCTTAGCTCTAAGGGGAGGGTGTTTCACGATTTAGGGCCATAAAAACAGAAAGCAGACAGATGTATTGCGGTCCCTTAAGAATTTCTAAATAAAAGCCAAAGTGCGTAGTAGAAAAAAGAAACAGTTATTATCATGCTTTGAAAGTTGACCGAGCTTAACAAGGTCACTGATAATGTGTGTGCGCTGTGTGTTGCTGCGTTTAGTTTGTGTGCTACCTTCTGCTGCGTTTTTTCATCTTTTGTGCAATATGTGCTTAACTAGTGAACTATCAATGACCACACTGAGCCAGCTATTAGTTAGTGTGTTGTAATGGCCATGCACGACAATATTTCTGTGTTTGTTTGTTTCAGACACCCTCTCTCTGTAATCTGACCTCAAACACGGACAACCATTTCTGCACTTTTTGCACATTTCAAAACTGTACATTTTACATTTTGTGTTTATATATATATATATATATATATATGTTCTTAATATATTATATGTTGTATGTATATATGATGTATGTAGATTTGGAGTTGTAACAAAAGTAATTTCCCCCTGGGATTATTAAAGTACTTCTGATTCTGATTCTGATTCTGATTGTGTGTTGTGCAGGTGATGAGCCATGAGGCAGCAGCCCAGTCAGCCGGTGTGATCTTTCTTTGTGTTCACAGAGAAAACTATGACTTCCTGGAGACACTTGTGACTCAACTGAAGGGGAAGGTACCTTGTTGCACAGTCTGATGCCTGATGCGTAACATAGGAGTTGTTTCATTTCTAACTTTTTATCCACTCCAATAATTTCATTGATTGGAAGGTGCTGGTGGATGTCAGCAACAACCTCAAGAAGAATGTATACCCAGAGGCCAATGCTGAGTATCTGCAGAGGTAAGAGGAAATCAGACAATAACGTAATTACTTAAAATGTTAGGAGATCTCATGGACCATGTGGTTTGACCATGAAACAAAACAGAGTTTTGTTTGTTGTCCAGGCTGATCCCTGGAGCTCATGTGGTGAAAGCTTTTAACACCTTGTCTGCCTGGTCCCTGCAGAATGGACCCTCAGATGCCAGTAGACAGGTACTGAATGGTCTGTTTGTGATGTTCTGTTAATCTTTATTATTTTGGTTGGCAAAGTGTATTTGACAGTTGTTAAAATTTTAAAAGTACCAAATTGGTTTTTCATCTAGTGTTATTTAGAAATGCATCTTTCTTTTCTCATGGTGACATTTTGGAGTTAAACTATTCAGTACTGCTCGTGAAATTCCTCTTTCACTGCAGAACTACAAACATTTAACAATTCTCTGATGTGTTCATACAGTGGGGTGTTGACCAACAAGTTAAAAATAATAGTCTTTTACAGAGAGGCATTTCAGTCCAAATTATATTATTAACTCATTTTGAAGTTTTGATCAAACCAAATCCAAGTAAAAGAAGCCAAATCTAAGGACTCAGCCTTATGTCTTTGCTATGAATGCCATCTCTGATGTATCCTTGAATCAATTAACTCCACAGTCTCTCTTAGATCTAAGCCTCCCATCACATCTTTGCTCTCTCGCTCTGTACTGCAAAGCTGTAGCATATGTGGGTTTTTCTGTTTCATTTTGATCTGGTTGTGAAATCCCAGAGGACAATAAAAACCACACAGGAATGTGTGTATGTGTTGGGGGGTAGGGGGGGCATATGTTTATGTATTGGGGTGTGTTGGTGTATTTGGAGCACCCTCATATAGTTGTTGACTGAGCATTGTTGTTGCTTTTTACTCGTTTTCTTCAACTAAATATAGTTTTTAATAGAGGATGCCACAGCATCTCCTGGTACTTTTATGTTCAATCCTCTGGAGTCAGAACCATCCTTTCATCATTTATTTACGCAAATACATAAACATACATGCATAAATATAAAATAATTAAGACATATACTCAATTTCTAGGGATTTTGAGTACTTTAAAGACTATGGATGTTTTCATGCTCCAGGTGTACCTGTGTGGAAACAGTGCTGAGGCAAAGCAGCAAGTAGTTGAGACGGCGACCAAACTGGGCTTCAATGTTCTGGACAGAGGGACTCTGTCAGCAGCCAGAGAGCTGGAGGACTTCCCCCTGCAGCTGTTCCCAGAGTGGAGGCTGCCACTACGCCTGGCCTTTGGCCTCACCGCCTTCTTCTTCTTCTATCTGCTCATTAGAGATGTTGTCTACACATATGTTGAACAGGACAAGGACATCTCCTTCAGAATCATGGTGTCCCTTGCCAACAAGGTAAAGACTGTTAGCATTTGTTCCTTTTAGTTGTCAGATGTGTTCTATCATTTAACATGAATCTGGTGCATGTTATCCTCACAGAAACCACTTCTTTGTTTATCCCCCGTGTTTCAGGTGTTTCCCATTGTGTCTCTCATCATGTTGTCTCTGTGTTACCTGCCTGGTGTCGTAGCGGCCTTCCTTCAGCTGTACAGAGGAACCAAATACAAGTCAGAAATTAAAACAGGACACACCTGAGATTCAGTGCATGCACAGGGGTGTATGTTTTCCAATATATATTAAATATTGCATCAAGTCAAAATATGTTTGTTTCAGGCGTTTCCCCGACTGGTTGGATCGCTGGATGCTGTGCAGGAAGCAGCTGGGACTGCTAGCACTTGGCTTTGCTTCTCTACATGTGCTCTACACTCTCATCATCCCCATAAGGTATCTAACAGGTGCACCCATCCTCATACTCTTCAAATGAAGGAATCAAAACTGCTCAGTTGCCAGTTTATCAGGAACACCTGCCTACGACTAATGCAGTCTAAAAACAGCCCTGCAATAAATCCAACCTTCAGTTAGTGTTGAAAAACAGATGTGATGTTTCAGTTTCTTAGAAATACCTCATTTTTGTATTTGCTTGTGTTTTCTCACTTTACATGTGTATCAAGAGATGTTTTCTTAAATTGCAATGTTTTGAGCTCTCAGGGACACTGTAGATAGCAGTAGCAGTGGTAGCAGCAGCGTGAAGAGCATAAGTGCATGTTTTTTAAGAAGCACTAAACACCGAGGTGTGAAGCTCAGGTTTGAATGAATTGTGGTTGTGTACTAACACATACTGTGTTAGAAAACAGATACTGGTAAAACAAAAAAGCAAAGCAGTAAAAATGTGAGAAGGAAAACTTTCTGTTAATTGCAGAGATTAATTGTAGCACAAAGAAAGACAATTTAAACCAACTGCCCACAAGAGCTTTGAATTGATAGGCTCTACAAAAGATGAAAGTAAATTACCAAACACTGGGAGTTATTATTTGTTGTGGTGATTAATATCTTAGTTATGTAAAAGCGTGAACACCTATCTGAATTTTCCTGATGATATTTTGTCCCTATTGTCGTCCCCAGATATTATGTGAGATTCAGGATTGCGGAAAGTACCATCTCAAAGGTAAGACAGACCCACAGCTTGAAAAGAAGTGTGTCTGATAAATTCGACGTGTCATTAAAAAATGACAACCATAAATTCAGATGATTTTGGATAATTCTGTTTCCATCAGTACAGAAAATGATAATACTGTCATGTTTACTGTCACTTTAAGATCAAGGAGAACCAAACGTCAGTGTTTGACACCACCATGGCCTGGCGTGTTGACTCGTACTACGCTATGGGGATTCTGGGATTTGGCCTGTATCTCCTGTTGGGAATAAGCTCTCTCCCCTCCGTCAGCAATGCTCTCAGCTGGAGAGAGTTCAGCTTCATACAGGTGGATACTGGCATGTGTGTCTGAGTCATAGTGATATGTGGGTATATGGATGTTTGAATGTGTGAGTGTCAGCGCGTCTGCACATTCACAGTGACACATTATGGACACAGAATACATAACTCTACTTTAGCTGTGCAGGATGCTGAGCAGCCCATCAAAATTTGGCTGAATCCCTGCTTCCTACATGCTGTTTACTGGCGGTCACAACTGGAGGAATGTGACAGTGGAATTTCCAGTGGTGCTGGCCCTGTGGTCTCCCAAGCAATCTGTTCCCTTATGCACATATTGGTGTTTGTGCCTGTGTGTGTGTGTGTGTGTGTGTGTGTGTGTGTGTGTTTACAGGAAGGATTAAATAACAGATTGTGTAGTTATTGCCTTTTAGCTCAATATTTTGTAGAATCTCGATGGTACGTGTGTATATGTGTATGCCCTCAACTTAGATTTGCATTTAAACGTTACACTCACTTTAACAAAATGAAAGGTAGCACAGGCTTCACACGTTTTGTAGCCAACAGATTTGGCGCTCCTATCCCACAAAAAAAAAAAGAAACTGAATGGCAGACAAGCACATTACCAGTCTTTTTAGAGACATTTCTATGATATGTCAGGAGCCAACTTCTGATAAAATGAATACAAACAAGCTAATTGGGAAATTTAATTTGGGACAACTGATTATCTCACCTCTACACTGTGGCCTTGAAAAGCTGCAAATGACACCCAGATTGATGATTCAGTTAACACAGAAATACATGCTCTCAATATTAAATAGGCTCAGTTGGTATCGACTTACAATATGCCTGCTGGAGCTATTTTAAAGTGCATTATGAAATGTTCGGTGTACTGCCACTACAGTATTGCACCTGTTTATGCTCTAGGCTGCTGAGGTTCAGTTAGTGTGGAAATTTACAGAAGCTACTGGACCTTTAAGGGATGTGGATACTGGCAGAAAAAGTATTTGCTACGATCTTCACATCATGTCCATTAGCCAAGATTCAAGCTATGACTGATGAGGACGTTTCTGTGCTTCAGCCAGATGGAAAACAGTTGCGTGGGCCAGATAGCTGTTTCCAACTTCCTGTTGAAAGTAATCTGTTTGAAATGTGTTATAGTGATATTTCCATCCTTCCCCTGATAATTTTCCACTGTGATTGTTTTTACTTGGGTAGACACAATTGTTTACCTTTTTTACCCACTTTGACCAATTGAAAATGAAATCGGCCTCACCACAGGGAGCAAACTCATTCATAAATGTAACTGGGTCATGTCAAGCTCGTTTTCTCATTCCACACCCCTCCCCTTTACTCCAGCCCAAATTAGAGCAGCGCTTTAAATGTTAAGTTATTCATCAAATGTAATTTGGGGGGCATATATTAGCCACAGTCTTTAGGTTTTGTTCATGTGTATAGAATGGATCCATGTGCCTGTACATTTACAAGTGTGTATGTGTATGCACGTCCTCTATCTACATTAGTTGATTTATCTCTTTTGTGCACATAAAGTAGATGAGTGTGTTGGAGTGTGTGCACATGTGTAGTCTCTGTAAAGGTCAATCTATCACATTCTGGCTTACTGAGCCTTTTACACAGTGATTAGCTCTGTGTTTATCATTGCAAGTGTATATGAATTTGTGAATGTGCACAGTGAGTGTAAAAGTATGTGTCCTAACTTGTTTTTCTCTCTTCCAGTCCAAATTAGGATACCTGACATTGTTCTTCTGTACCTTTCACACCTACCTTTATGGCTGGGACAAGTTTCTTCGACCCTCTTACTACAAATGGTACACTCCTCCAGGCTACATGCTTTGTCTGGTGGTGCCTTCTGTGGTGATGGCACTCAAGCTGGTGATCCTCTTGCCCTGTGTGGACCGCAGCCTCACCCGCATTCGACGGGGCTGGGAGAGGACTGATCCAGAGGGTGACAGCAAGAAATCATTGCTAACATAGAACTATCATAATCACAGACACAGAAAAAACAAAACAAACAGAAAACGCAGATACAAAGACACCGCAGTGACTGGCATTACCAGAGCTATTGCATTAGGTAACCTGACTCATTGTTTTGGATGTCATTGATCCAAGAGTGTACAATACACCTACTGTTCTGATCTCTATTGTCAACAAAGTCAAGTTGGTCAACCTTTATGTAACCATGCAGTAATTGTTCCATTTTGTAAACGTATTATGTCATATAATTGCACAGTGTAGGTTTTCATCAGTTATACAAATACCTTGGACCTACACAGAGAATCATAGACACCAACATATGAAAGCAGTCATACTGCAAGTTAACATTACTTTACCTTTGTAAGGTCATGTATTTTTTCCCACTAGAGTTGAATAATTGCAGTATACTGATGGTACAGCACATTCAGTAATCCTAACACTAACTATGAGATGAGCGTCCTTGTATTTCCCTTAACCTCAACAGCTACAGTTTGTCCAACTCTGATTTTTATACCTTTGAGTTTCTTATCAATCTTCATCTACAGGCAGCTTGTGTTTGTTGCGTTTCCTTAATTTAATTTTCTATTTCTATAAAAACATTTCTCACTGCTTTTTTATTTTGTTTTTCCTCATTAGTATTTGTATGTGTCAAGTGTAACAACCATGAAATGCTCTTCAGAATAAACTCAAGTGTGACTGAACAGTACTGTCTTGTCACTATTTCTTCCATTTAAGCTACATATATCTTCCTGTCTGGAAGCTCAGTCAAACTCAGAGAGTTTTTTCCCACTGAGCTGAGTGTGCTCTGTCTAGTCGTTTCAGTCTGATCCCTCTCCAGGGTTCATCCCTCCAGCTGATCTTATTCCATTCTCCAGGAAACATTCGCTCTGAGCTGCAGGCTTCTCCCCAGTCACTACTGGATCTCATCACATCAGTGGAGAGGGGAGCGTAGAGACTCTATCACTGAAGTCATTTGCAGAGAGGATATTTGGTTGTGACAGTACAGATAGACCCTTGATGTTGTGCTGCTAGTCATTTTAGTAGATTGTGAAGGGAGTGAAGAAAGCGTAGAACTTAGATAACTGATGGTAGTTAGTGACATATGATCAAGCATTAATCTATAAACATTGGCAAGCAGGCACGCACAAGTGCAGTATGTTGTCACATGCATTAATGCCTTCAGATCAGAGGGTACACACATACACAAACACACTCATCTGGAGACATTACTGCAAATATATTGTGATATTGTGGTTTCAGCTTAATTAGTAGCTTGCTAACATAGCAAAATGCTGTCTTGAGTGGATAGCAGCCTGTTCTGGCCGGCTAAATGAAGGGGCTTGCCATTTGAAGGTTACTTGCACAATGGCTTTCAACATCAACTGGGTTGCAGCTGACTTGCTAATCTCAGTTTGTTTGCTAACATTATCACTAACAAAATGCTCTCTGAGTGGATATGTTATTTGGCTAGCTTGCAAGATTAGGCTCTTTCACCAACTAATGAGATTTATGATTTACAAATGGCCAGCTAGTTAACTGGAACCAGTGGTCCAAATAAAACTTAGGAACATGAGATAGGAACATTATTCTAAATGTGATTGTAATTTATTTTCTAATCATTCAGTGTTCATTTCAGCATTCAGTCTCTCATAGTCTATGTCACTTTTGGTCACTGCCAATGTTATTTGCTCACACTTGCGGACTGTTGTGTGCAACATGCGAGCAACAGGATGCTGAATGCAGCTTACCTAACAGCCAGTGGTTTCATTATTAACAACGATTTTCTGAAAGTTACATATAGAACCTTTAAGGAAATGTCTCAACAGAGAATCTGCTGCTATAAATTGGAAAGGCATATAAATAAATACTCTCTCTGCATTGTATTGTACAGTGTTATATCTTTTAGTTTGGCATGTTACGGTTTGCGTTGGAAGAGACTGAAGGGTCAGAAATGTCACACATGGGGAGCACTTTGAAGTATGCATTGATGTGAGACAACAAGAAAACAACACAAGTGCAATGGTGGAGGTGACATAAGACATACCTGAAAAGGGTTGTTTGATGAGTTATTTTTGAAAATTTAACTATTTGGAAATCATCCACCCTTTAACTAATAAAAAAACACCCCGAAGTGCCTCAACAGAAGAGTAAAGCTGTAAAGCCAAAATAGGCCCTCCAGCCAGACAGCTATCACCAGCCTTACAGAAGGATGTAGTGACGCTTTGGTGATACAGAATCTAGTCAGTCAGTTTTCAAATGTCCTGGATTGGCCTAATGTTTTGCTAAATGTAAAACTCAGTCTTCTACCTTTATTATCTTTTTTCTATAGATCTATATTTTACAAATGAGATTCTGTTTAGATTTGTCACTCTCAGTAGCAGGAAAGCCTTTAGTGCAATTCCTGTCATTTTCTGTCATCTCTCATGCGTATATCAATTACGTTATAGCCCATTCAATATTTAGAAATATTATACAAAGTGTAATATTGTATTATGATGACTGATGAAATGTGATGTGATAATATACATTTTTCTAGGTTGTTGTCAGTGCCTAACAGCACACCAACCCGATTTTAAAATTTCAATGTGAGCATACTAAATTCATTTGAATCAACAGAATTTATGGGATAAAAAGACAAGACAGAGAGTTATGAGGAAGCATTAAGTGTATATAATACCCATAATCATTTCCACTGTTGCCTACTCTTTCTGTGTATTGAACCCTGGCATTGAAAGTATTAGCTGCAACACAAAAATATTGAATGTATTGGATGAAATGTTTCTATGGTTGCATTTCTTCTTTGAATTGGATGAAGTTTTTTCTCGCCCTGGTGATGCTGACAGCATGTGCTGCAACTCCTCAAGGTGAGAAATATATTCTTTATTTAAGGAATATTAAAATGAAAAATCACAATAAAGTTGCGAGTCGATAGGAGCATGAAGCCTTTTGCTTTCACCTTTATTCTGAGGTATGAAAACAACTTTTGTAGTTTAACAGGGTGAAACAAATTCTTTGTTGTCATATATATTAACAGACTTAATTGTATAACTGTATTTGTTTTGTTTTAGGACATACAGTTGCTTGACTCAACACAGCCAAAAACAATGATGCTCGTTCCCTTTTCAATCATGAATTATTCACAAAAGAAACTGATATACTTATTAATGAAACAAAAAGGCAGTGGATAAAATAATAAGTAAACTAAAAAGCTCAGTGGGATATCAAAAAGGTTTTTGTCAACAATATTCTCTCTGTATCTGGGAAATGTGGTTGGCTGTTTTTTTAGAAAGCTTCCTCAAAGCTTTAAAGTCTTTTTTTCATAAATCATGAATGATGGGTTTGCCACATGGGGAGCAGTCCTTACATATATACCATTCAGACTTTAAGAATCAGTAGTTTATATGTTGCTGTATGTTCCCGAAATTCTGCACAAGGACATAAAGGACCTTCACCACAAATTCTTACCGCAATTGACTTTTTTCTTCAGTTCGCAGGCAAAGATTCTAATTTATGTTAAAAGCAATACATGTATTTTAGATACATGATCTCCACTAATTATTTGATTTTTGTTCCCACTGTATAATTCATTCATTCTTTATATAATGTATGCACATGAACATCAAATCTCAAATTTAGCTCTCACTTACTTTCAGATCTGTTATATGAAATGTGTTCACCTTCCCACAACAAACCAACACATCAGATTACATCAAAACAGAATTTAAGTGCTGCAACTGTTTAAAATGAATGAAAGTCCTCACTTTATCTCTCACTGTAAAAGGGCAGCATACATGATCATTTCTTCTTAATGCCAGCACTGGTTTGATGGAAAACCTTCAGTTAGGTATAGGGGACCCACTATAATCAGGCCAGGTACAGTTTTATTGATGCATTGTATTACATAGATCATATGATATGATATCTGATGTCCACATGTGGGACTTCATCCATTAACCCTGTGAGATGCAGCGCTGCATGGATCATCTAAACTTGTGTTTCCCAATCTTTCTCTTTCTATCCTTGGATAAACTGGCGACCCATGACTAAGTGACATATTTCATGGATATTGCATATTATATTCAATGCAAAACAATAACAACTAATAAACAGTATATAATTAACCCCAATAGTGAATGCAAAATCTGCATGACGTTTGTGTGAAATGAGCAATGTGGATGAAGTTTGAGCAGATTATTTCATGGATCATTGCATCAGAGGTTATTTTAGCAATCATACATACTTATGAGGTGTCTTTTTTGATAAATTCAGTGTTTTCTTTTCCCTGATGCTTGGCTATTGTTCTAGCAGCTCTTCGGTTGTTTTAACTTCATACTTTTCCAATGCAGGGCGAGGCTGTATAGCAGAGATTGAAGGCTCTGTAAATATGGTTTGTGCTCAGGTCTTCATTATACCCATATCCTGTGAGATTTATATAATAATCCAATGGCAATTTCATTTAGTTTTCTTCACAGTAAAGTGATATTTTACATATCCCTCTCTTTTCTGTTTTACATATGAACGTCTTTCTTGGTCTATAGTGCTGAAGAATGAGCTTTGCCTACCACCAGTAGATGAAGTTCTCACTTTATAAGGTATATTCAGAGCACCCTGACATCATTGACAGGAGTGGTTACACATGCAACACAGCATACTTATGACAACTTTCAACCTGCAATTTCACGCTAAAACGAGTACCAAAATTGCACTGTGCTGCCTTATCTGAATAAACACAACCTCGGTCCACCCACCATGGCACAAGCAGGTTTGCTAGGAAAACACCAAACAAGCACTGAAGCGGTGACTAAAGCCTATCATAATAGATATGGTAGGTGTACATGATAACACCTATCATAACTGATAAGGTTAGTCACGAGTGATCAAACTTTAACCTCTGTGTACAGATTACAAGCTGATGCATGTGCATACAAGGATTAATGATTTCAAAACACAACACACAGTTGTTTACAAACTACTTTAAAAAATACTGTACTCTTTAAGCAATATAAGGGTTGGTACCATTATTTAGATATATTTCAATTCAGATACAGTGAAAACTATAAGATATTTTGTAAATATTTCCTATTTTTTAATTTAATGATTCAAATTTTCTGAACAAAAGTGCAAATAATTGTAAAATGTAGGCCCGCTTCACTTCAGCTTCATGGAGAGTTGGGAAATTCCTTTCAGCCTTGTTCATTTACAATACAGAACCATGAAGACGACCTCAGTGTAAATTGTGTTGATTCAGCAGAAAGCTGGAAGGGTGGGGACTTTTTAAATTTAAGGAATCTGAAGCAAAAGACAAAATAAAGAAGAGGAAGAAGAAGAAGAAGAAGAAGAAGTAAAGGGAGGTAATACATGAACAGAAATGGGGAAGCAGTGAGTACAAAACTCACAGTCCTAATCACTACTGCACACAAAATCCAGACACAGATCTCAAGGTAAGATCTATACACGCAAAACTGTAGGAATTTAAAGTGACTGTAGTATATTTAACCATTTTTTAAAATTCCACCTGTATTGTTTATTGTAGCTTCCCAAGGCAAATAACAATAACCTAACATAGTGTATTAGTAGCAACTAAAGAGCATTTTTTATGGTGTCTTTTTGTCTATTAGATGAAGTTTTTGCTGCTGGTGGTGATGCTGAAAGCATGTGCTGCAAGTCCTCAAGGTAAATACAATCTTCATTTAACAAAGGGAATACCATTTACTTTTAAACTTATTTTTGAGTTTTTGCAAAATATTAATAGAAGTCTTACCAATAACATTGCGTTTGTCATAATACTTTTGTTCTTTCCCATTTTTACATACTTCATTTTCAGCTAACATGTTTCCAATGCAAAATTACAAAGTAATAAGAGACTTTAACATTAACCTTTGGTACTCATATGCAAAGAGAAAGGTATATTATGTTTTAGGTTAGGTTTTATGAATTGTGAATTTGTGAAGGACGAGTGTGCAGGATCTATTGGCGAGGTTGCCGGAGGAACTATGGTGGCTGTGAAACTCTGCAAAGGGGCCTATTTAGAGTCAGTGTTTGGTTTGTCAGTTTATGTAACATCCTCCAAAATGTTACACACTGACCCCTGTAATTCTGCTAGTCTTTGCATTGCTTGTCTTGACACAGCCAAAAACTGCTGCTCATTGTACTTTCAATCAGGAACTACTAATTCTGTTTGCCAAGGAAAATTAACCGACATACGAACTTGTGCTGGACAAAGAATTATGGAGAATAGCATCAAAAAGGCTTTTACAAACCATTAAGAGCTTTTCTATTTAAATGAGATTAATTTCCTTCCTCAAAGATTGAAGTTTTCTACCAAATCTTGAATGATGGAGTGGCCACATGGACAAAAAAATCCTTACATGTGAGCCAACAAAATTCAAGAGCCAGTGGTTCATATCACACTGTATGTTCCTAATTTTTTGTAACTTTTAGCTTCAACTTGATGAATAATCCATCCCTCTTTTCAGATCTGTCAGGTAAAATGTTCACCTTCCCACAAGAAACCAACAGAGCTCATGTGAGGATGAATATATCGAATCGGGATTTGGCTGCTGCAACTGTCTGTCACAGGTAGAACTGAATGTGCAAAATGCACGAAAGAGCCCATTGTATCTCAGACTGTGAGAAGTATCCTGGACAATAATGTGTTTGTAATTCCTACAGATCCTTTACAGACCTCAAAAGAGACCACGTCCTTTTCTCTTTGGCCACACCCTCTAAAACCAATGCTTTTCTGCTTTTCTGGGATGAAACAAATAAAGAAATGGAGCCACATATCCTGGATAGAAAGTCAGAATATCGAGGGCAGGACTACAAGCCGAACATGTGGCACTCTGTTTGTACCACATGGGACTCTACGACTGGACTGGTGCAGCTGTGGTTTGATGGACAACCTTCAATTAGGAAATTCATCAGCTCTGGAACAAACATCAGATCGTCCAATATGATAACTATATTAGGACAGGTACAGTTGTATTAATAAACACCATAGTTCGTTCAACAAATGTTGTATATGCTAACGTTTTGATTTATTGTGTGTTTCTAGTGTATATATTTCAGTACAAATACTGCTGAATTTAGCTTTTATTTACAGTTTCTCAAATCTCTGCAATCTCTACAGGAGCAGGATGCACATGGTGCGGGGTTTGACCTTAAACAGTCTTTTGTTGGCATGATGTCTGATGTCCACATGTGGGACTACATCCTTTCACCCTGTGAGATCCACAACTACATGGATGATCTACAGTTCACTCCAGGGAATGTGCTCAACTGGAGGGCGCTGGAGTTCCAGATTGTAGACAGAGTGCTGATAGAAGATAAACTACATATCTGTAACTAAACATTTCACACAATACCATATATACTTTAGAAGTACAAAATCATACTTTCTGTGCTTTTATGTATATAAGTTACCAATGACAGCCATTTATGTTAAATCATCATTTAGGATAGGTTTTGATTTTTTTTTAATACAGTAATGACATGATAGAGTTATTTTGGTCACTCTGATCATTTTACCTGTCCATACCATGAAATGACTCCTCCCTAACATGACTCTGGTGTAGAAAAGGGGGTACAAAATCCATAGTCCTCCTCCTGTTCAAAGTTCAGCTAAAGGTAATAGTGAGTTACCCAAATCAGGTTTGTTTTAACACCATAATTTTCAATAAAGTCATTCTATGGTGGTACTTCACAGCCAGTATGGAGAGGAGGAATGATTATGGTGACCCATGACTCTCTCAATGTACATGTATACATTGTAATGGCTCAATGTGTTGTGTGTACAGCATGCATGCAGTAAAAATAGAGTGAATATTAAGTTTACTGTGTTGTTGAACAGCCACAGACAGGCAGTCAAACATGCCATGACAACATGATACAAATTCCCAGTTGGCAAGGTAGTAGACCTACCACATGGTCTTGGTTTTCTGCATGGTCCAATCCTACTGTCTAGATTGTTTTTTAATGTTAGTCATAACGACTGTATGGGGCAATAATTATTATTAATTCGGGCTGTCAATCTGTAAGGTTGTTTTCAAGGTCATCTGCCCCCTACTGGGCAAAAATGATAAATGCCGCTTTAACTGGGTTTTGATTTTCTATCAATTGTACTCATCTTGGCACTGTTCTATTTGTTTTTTGAAATAAACAATATCTTCACTCAATGGGACTGCACTACTTTGTTGTCACTCCCATATATGAGTGGGAGAGTAGAGAATATTTTAAGAACAAAAATCCCCCAAAATAGTGCATTCTTCTCGCTTTCCTAAATAATCTGACTAAGAACATAAGGAGAAATCACTTAGGTGTAGAAAAAACATGTTTTACATTGACCGAAATGCATCCAAATTGCAGAAAGCAACATCTGCTTTCACCAAGTACCTCAGCACGTCCCTTCTCTGATACGAGGCAGCCAGAAAACATCTCTTCTCGTGGAGTACATGTGGAAACTCCTAAATCCAAAGGATGTGGCATTAGGAGGAGGGCTAGCCCGTGACACAGAGATGACTTCACAAAAGGGACATAATCGTCAACCCTTGGCTCCAAACTTATTGCTGTTAAGCTACTCAGCCATTTTCTCAAATCTAACTTAAACTAACCTACCCCTGATGACAGACTTTTAGCTTTCATTCAACATTCAACATTCTAGCTTCATGATAGATTTCCATTTAGCACAGTCATTAGAAAACAATGACACGCTTTTTAAAAGGAAAGGGGCTCAGTGAATGAAGCACTGCCCCTTGGTGCCCCCCTCATGAAGACTCAAAGGAGCCTCTTATGTCAAGCTAGCAGGTTCCTGATGTAATTCAGCAACATGAGCTTGTAATTACCTATTAGTTAATTCCTCTTCAGCGTAACTCTTGAATTTCATTACCTCTGACTATTCACTAGTGCACAGAAATGGATTGCCTTTGACTGCCATAAGTGAAAGCACTTCTGTAAAACTTTAGCAATAATTTAGCTAAACTGATTAAAACTGGCACATACAGTACTTAGCCTCTATAATGTCACAGGGATAACCTTCAAACTTTAATTAAAACTAGTTCTAATAGTTATAGTCAAGTTAAGTCAAGTCAAATTTTATTTATAGTCCAAGATCACAAACTACAATTGGCTTCAGGGGGCTTTACAATCTGTACAGCATTCAACACCCTCTGTCCTTAGACCCCCGATTTGAGTAAAACCCTTTTAACAGGGAAAAAATAGAAGAAATCTCAAGAAGAGCCACAGAAGAGGGGTCTCACTTCCATTATAGACACATTTTATGTCACATGACACAATTTCTGATACATAAAGATTATAAAATATATACTTATATATTTGAAAAATTTGGATTTTATTCAAAACATTTTATCCATATTAAACAATATCCATTAGAAACAACTATCAGCCCCCCACAGTGCATATTCATTTAGATTTTTGTTTAGGGATATACTTTGCTATAGTCATGTAGGCCTGTCCATATTCTGGCAGACTCTCTAAAGACCCATGGAGTAAAAAAGTTAAACAGGCAATTTTACTGAGCACATTGTTGGGTTGACCAGGGGTGCATCTCAGAAAAGTGATGTGTTAGTTTTCAGATGAGAAATTTTGGCAACATCATGTTTCACAAATGATTGTCGGTCACAAATTACTGATACATTTGCCCTACAGGGCTCTGGGTTAGAAGTATAGTCTTACTTTTGACCAGTGAAACATGTCAAAACGAGTGAGCAGGAAATTATCTAGTGCTGCAAAATTGGTGAAACAGGTCCCAGAAGCACACTTTTCCCTCACCTCTGGTGTGACTTGAAACTTGTGAAACACTGTGAAATTAATCATGCCATCTTTTTGTTTCGTTGTTTAAAGCAAACTGTTTTGCTAGTTGTTTAAGTTGTATTAGTATTTTTCTTTTCTAGTAAATAGAAAAACATTTTGACAAACCTCTGTCGCCGGTCAGGTATTTAGATTTTTTTGTTTACGCTTGGTGATATGACTGATGCTCAAAACGTGAGCAAACATATTTCCCCTCCCAGAAAAACAACCTAAACGTAGGAAGTTCTTTTATAACTCCTTACTGCTGTTCCTATAACACATGGACTTACTATTTCACAATAAACTGTAAATTTCTCTTGGCACCATTTAAGCATACAAGTGCACCTTTCAGAGACCAATCCTGAGGGAATTCTTCAGGAGATTTGGTCCATAAACAACTGTTTTTACTCACAGTGTGTCTGTTTATGTATGCTCTTGACAAAAGCCTTGATGGCTGGACACACTATAGCTGGTGACACAAAAAACCCCACAAACAGCCTTCTCTAGAGTCAGTGTTAGATTTCACTGTTCTGGGCTACTGTAGAATAATGGTGGTTCAACATAACAGACAACCTGCTGCGTAGATATAAAAGGCTCAGTCTAAGGTAACAAAAACAGTTCTTATTTTCCGGTGTTTATACACTAATGAAAATATAGTTATGAATGTTATTCAATTTCCAGCAACAGATCCTCCTAAATGTTACACACTGGACCCTTAAAGGCAAGTTAGAGTATCATAAAAAGTTATTACAAATCATCCTGTTTGGACTCTCTACACAAACAAATGTTACACATACACGTGACTGTGTTGTTAACTGATTTTTATCTTACTTGTTTTTCATTTTTAGAGTGACTTAACAACTCGAAGTTTATCTTTATAAGTGTAATATACCTTAAAAACAGTTTTAATAGCCTTCACTTAACTTTGAACATTTGTGTATTACTGGAACCTAAAGCCATAAATTGAACCAATGACTGCCATAAGGAAGTAGTAAGTAAGTATAAAACCCACAGTCCCATACACTGTTACACACAACATCCTAACACAGGACTCAAGGTAAGATGCAACGCATTATAAACATTTAAGATAGAAGAATTTAAATTTATGTGCATTATATACAAACATTTCAGACTTGTTTTGCCTGTACTGTATATTGTAGCCGACAAACTTAGATTGCAGATTTATTTACAGTCTGTTACACTCTATTAGTGAAATTATTAGCAACATCTATGCATGTGATTAATTGCCTTTTGGATGGGGTTTATTTGTTTTTCTATCAGATGGCGTTGTTGCTTCTACTGGCGATGCTGACAGTATGTGCTGCTGTTCCTCAAGGTAAAAGATATATTCTTCATTCAACAAAGTTAAACAATTATCCTTTGTTATGTGCAAAATCTTTAATTTAATAGGATGAAACAAATAAGCTTAATATTATTAACAATAATAACAGTAACAATAGAGAAAAACATATATTATTACAAAATTATATGTAATTAATATGTATTAGGACAATTACTTGGTCAGATTGCAACTTGCATTCATCAACAGCAGTCAATTCATTTTCTATGTGAAGCAGCAAATCTCTAGTAAGAAACATGGTGGGGCAGACAGCAGCTATGAGTAAATGTATTTCGCAGTTTAGAGCGGTGTGGCTCTGTATGGATAGCAAAGTATACAGTAAATTAAACATGTTTCAGGGTCCATAATATTTGATTTTTAACTTCAGCTTATCTATTCTCAAAAAATCTTTTAATAAAACTTCATCTTCAATTATTATTTTTGCTATTATTTGATGAATTTATTATATAATTTAAATTTCACATTCTAATTTTGAATTTTCTTCATTTTTTTTAAAAGACCTAACAGGTAAAATGTTCACCTTCCCACAACAAACCAACACAGCTCATGTGAGGCTGACTACAACAAGACAGAATTTGAGGGCCGTAACCGTCTGTCTCAGGTAGGGTTGAATGTGCAAAATTAATGAAACAACCCGCTGTATCTGTCACAATAAAAATCATAATGAATGATGAACAATGTCTTTGTTATGCCTGCAGGTCCTTCACAGACCTCCGTAGAACACATAGCCTTTTCTCTTTGGCCACACCCTCTGCTTTCAATGACTTCCTGATTTTCAAGAACGCTCCAAGCGATGAGTTTGGTCTCTATGTCAGAGATAAACATGTAACTTTTGTAGGTAACAACTACAAAATAAACACATGGCACTCAGTTTGTTCAACATGGGACTCAACATCTGGAGTGGTGCAACTGTGGTTAGATGGAAAGCCCTCAATTAGGAAATTTGTCTCCTCTGGATCCAACATCAACGGGCCCATTATAATTGTTTTAGGACAGGTACAGTTTTTACACACCATCCATACAAGGAATAGTTTGACATTATGGGAAATGCACAGATTAGCCTTTATGCAGAGAGTTAGATAAGAAGATCAATACCAGTCACTGTAAATGTGTAGCTAAAATCAGCAGTCTATTAGCTTACCTTAGCACAAACACATGAAAACAGCTGTCCTGGCTAAGTCCAAAGTTAGCCCACCACACATCTCAAACTCAGTAAACAACAATTTTATAGCAAATTTTTATGTAGATTAAGCATTCATTTGTATATATATTTATTTTGACAAAGACATCTGCCAAATTGATAAATTAAACTGTAGCCAAATTTATCTTTGGACAAAATCATGTCATGTTTCCTCATTTCAAGTCTTTAAAATATGTCGAGCTAACCGACTGCTTGCTCCAGCTACTTACTCAGGGCAGTCTTATTAGATCGGCAGTTATCTTCACATCTAACTGTCGGCAGGAGAGTGAATAAGTATATTTCCCCAAATATCAAACTATTCTAACTATTCACACTACTAAAATGAATGCAATGTACAACATAGCTGTTATGTCAACACTATGCAATCTCTACAGGAGCAGGATACGCATGGTGGAGGGTTTGATGCTGCACAGTCTTTCGTTGGCATGATGTCTGATGTCCACATGTGGGACTATACCCTCAACCCCTATGAGATCCAGAAGTATGCAGAGCATCTTAACTACACTCCAGGGAATGTGCTCAACTGGGGTAGGCTGGAGTTCCAGACCATAAACCGAGTGCTGATAGAAGACAGGCAAAAGACTTGTGTCTGAACTTTTGAAGCTGTTGAAGCTGTAAATGTCTTCCAATGTCAAAAACAGGTTTAAAAAAAATACTAATAGAATAATGTAAAACTAATTGGAGACTGTTTTCAGTTTTTTATTCCTCATTTATTGTCATTATTATCTTATGTTATATTTGTTTGTCAGATCATTGCAAAAAAAAAACCTTTTTTACTTTTCTTTGTTTCTCTGATCTTTTGGCTGTGTGTTGCCAGCATTAATTGTTTAATGTGTTCACTCATATTCATAGTGTGATGAATTTGAGTTATCTCTCATTTGTGACTGCCTTTAATGGTAATACATGTATTTGAAGAAGTTGTTTTATAAGGTTGCATTATGTTAAAAAAAAACTTAACAATGAAATGTTATATGTAATGTGCTGTGAATAATAAATTGGTTATGTAAAAACTCCTCTTGTTTCTGAAATTATTAGATAAATAAATTCACTTTAACTAAAGCAAGCAAATATATTTCCCAAACTGTCTGACCAGTCCTTGCACTGCCATGAGTCCATTATTTATTACTATCAACTATTAGTTAGCTGATTCCTCTTTAGTATGACTGCTGCATCTCAGTGGAAGTGGCTATCAGCTACAAGATTACTTTAAGATGCAGCAAGTAAAAGTGTTTCTGTTAAAGTTGGACAATGATTTGTAAATTGATATAATAGATTAGGTATTTCTGTTAACTTGTCAGCAACCTTTTGGTCCTTCATAGTCAAATTTATTTGATTTTGAGAGGCTTATAATTTAAACCTTATAATTGGCAGACAACGTTTTTTGCTTCCACACCAGCGATAGCCGTTGTTGTGAATGTGATATTTCATGGGGAATTTCTTCAAATTGGACACAAACATCCACTTGGATCAGTTAATATTTAACTAACTTTAGCTGTCAAATAAAAAAATCTGAAGTCTTGGATGGTGTTATTACAATCATATTTTTTTTGTATTCAAAATGTTCAGCTGTTTATTTTAGCTTGTTATAAATGTGAGACTCCGTGGCTGGAAACACATCACACATAATCTTATTATGGATTTCAGGGTAGCCTGAGTGTGTGAAATTAAACATGAGAGCAAATGGTGAACGTAAAATGGTGATTGCTTGTTTCAGCTTCTCTGTACGTTACTATCTTAATTCTTTCCCAGGGCAATATTGGAGTACTCTATCTCATTTATAGGCTACAACAGCACACACACACACACACACACACACACACACACAGCCCAACGCATCCCAACAGCAGGAAATAAGTTAAAATCAACAACCTTTCTTCGGTAATATGAGAATAATACAATATGAGATGGTGTAAGGGCTTGCAGATTGTGTGTGCAGATAATATTGTTATATGCTAGATAACAGGATGTCTCTGACTAAATGTTCTGCTTGGGGCAGAGAAGGCGCTGCATATTCCTCTTGTAGCAGCAGACTCTGTCATGGTGACAGCTGCTCCGCCCTCCTCTCTTTCTTCCTCTGCATCTTGATCACCTGATTCATTTCCGTGTTGTACATAATAACTTCTCCTTTGTTCCACACCTGCCATTCTGCACCTGCCCACATGTTGTCCCTACTGAGTCAGAGTGACATGTACTGTATATTCAGCTACTCCTCATGTGCTACCTAGTGCAACAAATGTACTTATTCACATTATTTTGCGTTTGTGTGCAATGTAGCCAGTAATTAGATTTCTGTTTTATTTTTATTTTAGTTGTCTTAATGATTAGGGAGTTTGAATAAAATTCAGATATAACTAAAATAAAATATGTAACTAAGACAAACTTTCCATCATCACATCATCATCATCATCATCATCATCATCATCATCATCATCATCATTATGGCCTGCCACTTTACTGAAAGTTTTAATTTTCTATTGTATTGGCATATTTCAGCACAGCAACTTTTACTACTGTTCAGTTACAAGGAAAATTGGGTCTTTCTGACAGCTGCCTCAGGGTTTTCATGCAGGCCGCTGTCCAGCCCTTTGCACTGTACACTGGGCTTAATTAGAGTCCAACTTCATGTTAAACCATTCCCTCTTCATGTGTGTGATTGTCACAGTACAGCAGTGCTCTGATAACACGTCTTTGCCAGCTGCTATTAATATATTATAGTTGATTCAGGTCCTCTAATACCATAATACTGACACTGCTAAACTTTTTTTGAAAGTCAAATTTGTACTCTTTGATAACATTTTTGTGAATAAAGCTTGCCCACATGTGAAACAGGTAGCCTGTGACACTTTGTAGGGCATTGATCATGCTAATAACAGGAGACTTTCTGAGCAGTTCATATCCAATTAAGAGAGTTGGTGAATCTGACTCGGAACACTCGTATGAACAAACCTTACCAAAAAAAGAGAGAGGATAGGATTAGGATAAGAAAACAAAAAAATTCTTGCTTGAGGCTCATTGATTTTCTGTACCTTTCTCACCTATCTATATGGCCTTTGACCCTTCACCCTCTGGGCCACATACTGGGTCTGGTGGGGCCCTATATATACTATACAACACCAGTTTTCATCAACTGGTAAACGATCTCCAAAATAAACTTTAGTGTGATTGAAGACTGTTGCCCTGTTTCTCTCTTTCTCTGGTGCCCACCAACTACATCTCATCTTGTCTGGAAGCTCAGTCAAACTCAGAGTTTTTCCCAAATGAGTTGAGTGTGCTCTGTCTAGTCGTCTCGGTCTGATCCCTCTCCAGGGTTCATCCCGTCGCCTGATCTGATGCCTTTCTCCAGGAAACATTCGCTCTGAGCTGCAGGTTTCTCCCCAGTCACTACTGGAGCCCATCACATCAGCGGAGAGAGGAGCAGACTCCTCCATCACAGAAGTCCTCTGCAGAGACGATATAATATTGGGATGTGACAAGACAGATAAACTGTTGTGCTGTTGATGTTGTACTGCAGCAAGATATTTTAGTTGATCAAGAGCATCGAAAATGAAACAACACAAGCCTTAGTGAAGCCAAAGATAATAAATAGTAAATCAATCAAGCAGAGTAACTTCCGTGGTGTACCAACCCATACCAGTTGAGTGAGATTACACTTCCTAATCGAGTCATCAGCCAAATACCTTCTCAAAAAACAAAATAACAATGGACATCATTATTTAGAATTTTAAAATACGATTTTGTGAATATATATCCTAAGTTTTTGTCTATGAACATGGTCCTGCAGCTTATTCTCACTAGATTTCAATGCATTTGATTCAGTGTTTCTCAATACATCAATCTAATTTCAAAACACCTCAGTACAGTTTGAAAATGTCTGATGTCCTTCAGTGCCCTAACTGGAGTGCACTACTGATCCCGAAAAATGCCAGATCCAGTGAACCACATACAGCCGGTTCATCAACTTCATACATGAATGAGAAATATACTGTAAAAATTAGACACTTGTTAAGATAAAAGCCAGTTTTACCTCTCGATAAGGGTCACACATACACAGACTCTCTCTCCACACTCTCTCTCATAGACTCTCTCTCATAGCCCTACATGAACAGTTTACATAAGTAGGCATTTCTGTAGCCCTTGCATGAGGGAATAATCCACAGTTCATAGCATTGTGCCGTTAAACACAGGTTTACAGTGGAAGCCTGTCAGTGTAAACAGAATTAAGTTAAGACCTAGACCTCATGCTATTTTGACAAACACTAGTAAATTTATTATTTTACAATTACGGCTTGTGTAGAACTCTGTCAGGCAGTTAAACCACACAATTTTTTTTAAGTGTCTTGGCCTTGAAGTAAATAAAGAGAGTAAAATAAAAAGTCCCAAATCTACGATCGTACATAACATGGTTTGGCGTCATCAAGGTAACATGATAAATGCTGTCCCATTCCTCTTCATACCATTTCAAGAACTTACTAAGTGATGGCAACTAAGTCTATAAGGGTTCAGGGCTTAGGCCTTAGGGGGGCCCTCTTAGTTTCCAGCGCTACTCTGCTGTTGAAATAGCTAATATTTAATAGAAATAACTGTCACACATTTACGTTAAACTTTATAATTTAATGTTATTATATTTTTATATATATATTATTTAATATAATTTATTTCCTCAAGGTTTTGTTCAGACCACACACACTGTATTCCACTCAGGTTGTCTTCCTACAACAAAGGATTGTCTGACCAGATTAATTGTCATTGTGTACCAACCTGTACCAGTAATATAAGGTTACACTTCCTTACTGAGTCATCAGCCAAATACCTTTTAAAAAAACAAAATAACAAAGGGTGTCACATGTGGGTCTACTTCATGGAGTATGAATAAGTGTGTTTGTGTATCTCGTGTAAGCTCATGTGCACTGTTTGTTTTATTTATTTCCTTATTTCCTTCTTTATTTATTTAGATTATCTACATTATTGAATTTGGTAAATGTCCCTAGCGATTTCATTTTTCATAGTATTGAAAGAGCTCCCACTGGATGTGTGCTAATATAATATGGCTGATAAAACAGCATTAGGAGCCTGTAATGTGCATTTGCCTGCTCCTCATAACAACATTGTTCCATGAAGAGGTTTTTAAAATAAGAACACAATATCTTAACACAAGCATGATATTCTAATGTTAATTATGTTAAAAAAAGAGGCGGTTGACAAGGAAGTATAATACATTTGAAACAGCAGTTGTGACATCAACAGGAATGAGGAAACAGTGAGTGTTTAAAACAGCATTCCTGTTCAATGTTGCGCACATCATCACAACACAACACGACAACTTAAAGGTAGGGTCATGATGTGATATTCAGTGCACAATAGAGTAAATTAAGGTGACATTTATCAATGTGGGATACCAAGGTAACACTTAATTGATTTGAAGCAGCAGAGTTATTCTAGTTGTTAAGAGTAATAGCTGCATTTGATTTATTGGATTTAAACAGATCTTTCTCTGGTGTCTGTTCATTTGTCTTTCTATCAGATGGCTTTTTTGCTTCTGCTGGTGATGCTGACAACATGTGCTGCAATTCCTCAAGGTAAGGCTAAAAACAATTCACAATAAGTTAAAGTTACATGTTAATGTACGGTACACAGTTTGTTAGCGTTTGCAAAAAATCTCAAACAATTATTCAGTTGCAAATGACTAATGTTGGCTACATTGTTTGTCTTTGTCATGATAATGGACATTTTTTTGTCTAAAAATCGATTTTATAAGGAGTACAGGACCTGCTCTGTATGAAAAGTCTGTTTAAAATGTCTGTTTTATCATATTCCAGCAGGAGATTTATTTCTCTCATTCACAGACTTGACATCAAACCATGTGGTATTTACACTGTCAACAAGGAATGAATTATTCTGTTTGCAACAAGAAAATAACCCACCTTTAGATCTGTGCAAACTGAAAAAGAACTTTGTTAAGCGTACATGTTTAGTTCGCTTTATCAAATCATCAGTGTTTTCTTATAAATTTTAAATGATGAAGTGGCTACATGGGTAGCAGTGCTTTCACGTATGCCATCAGATTTTAGGAACCAGTGGTTCAAATGCATGTATGTTCCCAATTTTATGTAAAATGGCTTTTCCAAAAGATACAGCTGGGTTCAGGGTTATTGCCACATTTATACTTTTCTCAAACATATTTTTAAGGCAGCTAAATATTGGGCCGCCACATGCTATGTGTATAATTAATTTGTTCATTGTATAATTTATATCAACATTTAGCATTTTTCTTGCTTTTTTGTAGATTTGTCTGGTAAAATGTTCACCTTCCCAGAGGAAACTGGCACAGCTAATGTGAGACTGAAAACATCAACACAGGATTTTAAAGCTGTGACTGTCTGTTTCAGGTAGTGTTAAAAGCGAAAAATGCATGATATAACCCACTATATCGCTGACTAAAAAAAACTAATGTTTGATCATTTATTTCTTTCGATGTCTACAGGTCCATTACAGACCTCCGCAGAGACCACAACCTTTTCTCTCTGGCCACACCATCCGCTCAAAATGCCTTCCTGATATTCAAGACCGCTTCAAGTGTGATTGATTTTCTTGTCAGCAATAAAAAGGTAGAATTTGGAGCAGAGGACTACAAGCTGAACATGTGGCACTCTATTTGTTCTACATGGGACTCTAAGACTGGACTGGTGCAGCTGTGGTTTGATGGAAAGTCCTCAATTAGGAAATTCACTGGAGGATCAAACATTACTACACCCAGTGTTATCCTTGGACAGGTAAGTTTAATTGTTAAAAATTAGAGCGTCCTGTTGATTGAAAAGTTGGGATTTTTTTATGACTATAAAGTATTTTAGATTTCAGAACAATAATTTTAGCTAATTGTAGTTCTGTGTAATCTCTACAGGAGCAGGATTCCTTCGGTGGGGGGTTTGATGTTAAGCAGTCTTTCGTTGGCATGATGTCTGATGTCCATATGTGGGACTACACCCTTTCATCCTGTGAGATTGAGCGCTACATGGATGATCTAAACTTCACCCCAGGGAATGCGCTCAATTGGAGGGCGCTGGACTTCCAGATCACCGAAAGAGTGCTGATAGAAGACAAACAAATGAGCTGTCACTAAAGTCACTTTCTAATACTCCACCCAAGGTGTTTTCTTTTGATTATGAATTGTTCATGCCCTGTAGGCTTTAACAGTGGCTTTAGAAAGTTTGTAGCTTTGTCTTTGGCAAGGGCAGTGGCTTTGTTCAGCTTGAATTTCTAAAAATAAACTACTGTGATTCACAAATTACAAACCTTATTCCTGATCATCACCTTCAATGCAATGTAGCCTTTGTTATTAACTGGGCAATTATTTTATGTATATATCATGCAATATTTTATGTGATTTGTGTTGGATCAGCCATGTCTGTCTGCTTTTATATGTTCTTTGTTTTGCCCTGTAGTCCAGTTTCATGTGCATCATTCTGGCAGGGGTGCCCAGGAAGTTTTGGGCCCCTTGACATGCCTTCATGCAACACATTTCTTATAATGTGAGTCCCCCTCGCTTATCAAAACCCTATTTTTGTTCCCCCTCATTTTATGGTTTTTATTCTTTCCTATGACTCCAAATCAATTCATTTCTTTCTCAAAATCTTTTTTTTATATCTCAAAATGGTCTCATTCATGAATGCTCAGTTTTACTTGTACTTTAAACAAACAAGACAACAAACAAAACAAACAACTTGAATAAATTCTGTAGCTGAATGACTGCCATATACTTAGTAAAGCTCAGTATTACGTACTGTAAACCCTTTGAGAGACCTGGATTATTGAAAATGTTTACAAATGATTCAAAGTTGCTCTTACAGATGCTATTTCACCTCAGTTAGGAAGCTTGAAGACACCCTTTCACTGACCCTGCACGCATAACATAGTGGTTTGTCCTGATCTCTTTGATAGCAAGTGGCATATGGTGTTGTTCTGGTTTCTCAGTCTGCAGGTTTTTCAAGATAAACTACTGTAGTGCCTTTTTTTATCAAGATGTGAGGTGGACAGTTCGATTCATTGCCAATAACCAAGTGAGACAACCAGTCTTTAACCAAGTTTTCTTGGCCACAGCAAAACCTCCAGAGACTTCCACAATAAATTAGGCTGCACGATAGGAGCTGTAGAAGTAACATTCACCTTAAACACCTCTCTTTTGACATTCCTGCTGAATTAATTGAGCATCATGTGCTGGGTGAGAACTCAGAAAAAGGCCCTTGTCGTACATTAGCTGTTTCCTGATGTAATGGAGGGCAAGTTTTACCTCAACAGACTGAGGGATTGAGAGTATGGGCATATTGTAAAAGTCTAATTCACTTGACAATGAGGAACTCTTGGGTCACTTGGGATGCTATTTGCCTCCTTGATGTCCTGGGCCATGGTGTGTGTGCCCCATGCTGTGCTGAGTTATACAGTTATAAGTTCAATGCTTGGGCATTATAGAGATGAGCTTTGTGGTCTGTGTAAAACAACTGTATGTTAAAATGTACTATATGGGTGGTATTTGATCTATTTCAGGTTACTCTATTCTTCTTTGAATGTGGACATTTTTCAGATGGCAGAAAAAATCATTTAGAAATCAATTTAACAATAATATCAAATAGATTTTGGGAATCAGGCTTTTTTTGTTTTTAGAGTAAAACCTAAAAACAAAAAAAGAGTATTTAGGTTTTATAACTATTCACTTGTGGATGCTGAGGGCATTAACCGTAGTAATAATACAATGTAGACAGGCAGGATTGACATTTATTTATTACAATTTTTTAAGTTTAACAAACAAACAAACAGATTTTCTTACAACTTTACAGCACAAGAAGTTTCAGTTCATATTGTGTCAAGATCACTAGCAAATAGTACAAAAAACTCAACCTATGTTCAGACTGTGGCATTGCCCTGTACAGTATGTGAATTGAGAAGACAATTCAGAAAACAATCAGTGTTATTATTTACCTTTTATTCAACATCTGAGTGTATATTTCACAGATTAATCCTGGGTGGATTCTTCATTAAATGTAGTTCATGATCTGTGTCTTTACCCACAATTTCAGCTGTTTATTTATGCTCATATAGAAGTGGGCCTTCATAGCTGGACACACATAATCGTATTATGGGTTTCATGGTAGCCTGGGTTTATGAAATTAAACAGGGGGGGAAATGGTGGACGTAACCTAGCTTGTTTCACAGCTTCTCTGTATGTTGCTACATCCTAATTCTTTCCCAGGGCAATACTGGAGCACTCTACCTCATTTATACATCAGCACACACACACACACACACACACACACACAGCCCAACGCACCCGAACAACAGGGAATAGGTTAAAATCAACAGCCGTTCTTTGGTAATAGGAGAATAATACAATGTGAGATGGTGTAAGGGCTTGCAGATTGTGTGTGCAGATAATATTGTTAGATGCTAGATAACAGGATGTCTCTGACTAAATGTTCTGCTTGGGGCAGAAAAGGAGCTGCATATTCCTCTAGTAACAGCAGACTCTGTGATGGTGACAGCTGCTCCACCCTCCTTCTCTTCCCTCTTCTGCTTCTGGAAAATCTGATTAGTGTTGTACATATTAACATCTATCTTGCTGTTTCACAACTGCCATTCGGCACCTGTCCACCAGCAGTCACTGTTCATCACCTGATCAGGTCACCTGCCTGCCCGGCCATCCAGTCTTTGCCAACCTGTCTATGTTGCCTTCGTTACACAGCCTATATTTTGTTCTGCCTCCTTATTTAGCTGTCTGAATTTGTTGCTGACTGTGACCCTGTTCTAGATCATGAAAAGACACCTTCATCACACCTGTTCTGCCTCCTGAATGTGCTTTTGGCTGTAACAAATCTGTGATCCACTGTCACACTCACTGGTGTTGTCTCTTCTAAAGTCTGCGTTGACTGTGCATGTGGTAATACGATAAGCTTAACCTTACGCTTCTTTACATTGTGTATGTGCATATGTAAGCGTGTGTGAGGGTGCACGTTTGTATGCCCTTGAAGGGCAGGCAGGTTTGGGCAGCGAGGTATTTGTGTTAGAAAACAGAGATCAATAACATCCTGAAAAGAGAGCAACTCCAGGGATACAATTGCACCACTTGAAGGGAGAAGAGAGAGGAAAACGGAAACTGTTGCCTATGTTTATCAAAACAATGGATTTCAGCAGGGGGATATCAATCTATTTTCACCACAGTCTGTGAAAAGATACAGTACAAACATGAAATCAGTTTTTTTTTTCTTTCTCAAGCTCAAAGGAAATAGACATTAAAAACATTTATATCCATGGAGACCTGTCCACTTGGCTGCAATAAACTATACTTTTTTGTGTTGTTTGGCTATTGCCAATTGAGAATAGGCAGTGCTGACTGATCAAAGGAGACAATCACACACCAACACAGCATGGACAAAATTATCTTTGGATATGTGTGTATGTTTTTTATCTAAAGTATTACTCATTCTACAAAATCTACATACCAAGCTGAATATGAAGAGATTTGGTCCAAATAGTAGAGATTTTAGAAAATGATTGTCTTCTAAAATAAGTTTGTTTTTGTGCTAAATCACAACATGGAATATTGTTTTTCAGTTTACGATTATGTATTGGCTGAAATGTATAGTTATGTGCAGTTCTAAGTTTTTTCTTCCTTCAAAATAATGAGTGAATGAAGCCCTCAGATAATCAGCAACCCCAATGACTTCAGAGGTCAGAGTTCACAGGTTGGTGGCCTTAATCGTACCCATCTCCTCCCTTGGCTGGGTCCTCTCCCAGCCTTGTCGAATGCGGGTTAAGGTTCGGTCAACGCAGGGGAGAACGAGCAGCACCTTGAGCACCAGCACCACAGAAGGCACAATTAGACAGAGCATGTAGCCTGGAGGAGTGTACCATTTGTAGGTAGAGGAACGAAGAAATTTGTTCCAGCCGTAAATGTAGCCATGTGCCGTGCATATGCACAGGGTCAGGTGGCCCAGCTTAGACTGACAAAAAAAAAATCACATAAAATGGAAATGTTAAAATAATAGTGTGACATTTTAGGAAATATGTTCATTTACTTTCTTACAGAAAATGATACGAGAAGATTGATACCACGGTCTGTATGGTAAATATGTAGCTGGAGCCAGCACTGTGTTTGCTCAGCTTAGCATAAAGGAAAAATCCACCTTAACATTAACGTGCTATATCTCAGTGGGTCATTATTGTTAACTAAAACTAAACTAAAAACTAAAACTAGGTGTGAAAAATAAAAAGTAAACTGCAGAAAAAAAACAAAAATGAACTGAAAAGATACTTATACTAACTAAAATAAAATGAATATATACAGAAAATGTCTCCAGTTTTAGTCTTTGTCAGTTTGGTCAACAAGCATTAGGAGTTATTGGTGCATATGTTTATTGAGATTCGGATGTCTGACTGTCAATTACCTTCACAAAATGTTGTGTTTGTATTGTAATTCCTTTTCTGAACTTCTTCAATTTTGCCCCTGAAAAATACCTCTGAAACTAATAAAAACTAAGCTGAAACTAAACATCTTTAAACAATAAAAACTAAACTGAAACAAACAAATCCTCTGAAAACATACTGAAACTAAACTAAAAATTAAATTATATAATTATAATTATAGAAATAAAAACCAATGAAAAATACAAAACTATAATAACTACAAACAGAGCCATGTTAGCTGTTTTTTTCTATTTCTATTAGTCTTAGATCTCAGATATTGCATGATAAACATCTGTCTCTGTTGGTAACTGAAGCCCCTGTAGCTGACATGCTTATTAGTAAATAAAATTATATTCAGCTATTTTTCCAAATAGAAAAATGGTGTTTTGGTTAAATTAAAACTACTTTACAAATGACTTTAGGAATAACAACCTGTCACACACTGAAGTAAACTCTGTGGTCATTTTCAGATTTTAAGATGAATGTCGGACTATTTTTTTGTTCTTGTCGAATCCTCAAGTGTTACAATAAGCTAAAGATACAAATTGCCTCACTGCCGCTCCAGAATAATTGGTTTTGTAGCACCAGTGGCCTTTGAGGATCGCTTATTGTTAATTACTTTGGATAATGTGCCTTCATTTACATTTTTAGCATTGGGCTGCTGATGTTCTCATCCTCAGTGACTTACAATAAGTGCAAACAGCACAATAAGGAAACATTCATATTAATGTAGTGTAATGCAGTAATGAACTATGCCCCTATAATGATAATCAGGGATCTTATTTAACTAATTTAGAACAGCAAATCCTTCTGCTGCAAGTATTAACATGTATAATCAAAAATTTACATTCCTCTGTTGACAACTTAGCACCAATGCAAAAAAAAAAAAACCAACAGTTTATGTAAATTGATACCTTTTATTTTATGTTTTTCACAACTCTTTTCACCAGATCATAAGGATTATCTTGACCTAGACCTCTTTCTCTAAGTCTCATTCCCTATCTAAGGTATACCTATGGACCTGACCTTTACACAAATGGACCTGTGTACCAGGTATCATAATTCTATTTAATGAATAACTTAACATTTAAAATCCTGGGCCAAAGTCAGCCAGGCTTTCACTCTGTGTGCCTCTGTTAGGCAGTTAGTTAACTAGTCTCCAGGGGGATGAGTGCCAGTGACATATTGCTTTTACAACACTTTAATAACTGATGAAAACTTGGACACTTCAAATATAGATTATCATAAAGGCCCTAAAAGACGTTTACTGATAGTAAGCACATGACTGATAATGTCCATAGGCGTAAAGGTGAACAAGGTGAAGCACATACACTCACACTAACACGTGCACTCAAAGGACTGTACAATATCCAGCTGTGCTCTTACCTGAATGAAGCTGAACTCTCTCCAGCTGAGAGTGCCCCCCACAGAGGGCAGGGATGTTAGTCCTAGCAGGACATAAAGAAATAACCCTAGGATTCCTAGCACATAGAACGAGTCTGTGCCCCATGCCTCCGTGTTATCAAAGTAAAACGGGGTGGTTTTATTGTTCTTCATCTAAGAGAAACAGAGACAGAGAGACAGTATTATAAGCATGGTGCCTCTCTTTCCTGAATGTTGGCCTTAAGTCACGTTTCCTCTATGTAGAGGATTGCAGAAATAGTGCATGGTTGAACCAGCCAGCCATACCTCATCCACCACAAGCGAGATGAGTTTGTGTCTGACAGCATAGCGAATAGGAATGATGAATGTATAGATGGCATGGAGAAAAGCTAAGCCTAGTGCAATCAGACCCATCTGCTTCCTGCACAGCATCCAGCGGTCCAGCCAATCAGGGAAGCGCCTGGAACAAGCAACAGTGAGCTAGGCACTTACGCTCCAAAAATGATACACTTTTAACAACGAATTGCAAAGGTAGTGCACATTTTTCTCCTGGCTTAAAGTCTGACCTGTACTTGGTGCCTCTGTAGAGCTGAAGAATGGCAGCTATAACACCAGGCAGGTAACACAGAGACAACATGACGAGAGACACAATCGGAAACACCTGTAAGATAAAACACTTCTTTTAAAGGGAGCACAGAATACCATCTACCAACAATACAATCTTCCAAACCAGAATGGGGCAAATGTTTACCTTGTTGGCCAGGGATACCATGATTCTGAAGGAGATGTCTTTCTTCTGTTCAGCATATGCGTAGATGACATCTCTAATGAGCAGATAGAAGAAGAAGAAGGCGATGAGGCCGATGGCCACACGTAGTGGCAGCCTCCACTCAGGGAACAGCTGCAGGGGGAAGTCCTCCAGCTCTCTGGCTGCTGACAGAGTCCCTCGATCCAAAACAGTGAGGCCCAGCTTGGTGGCCATCTTTGCTACCGCCTGCTTTGCTTCTGCACTGTTCCCACACAGGTAGACCTGGGGCAGGGAGGAGTAGGATATATTTAAAATGGGTTGTGGTATAGTCATGGGTTGTTTAAAGAATAAGGATGTTGAAGTGTATTGTTGTTGCTGTCAACAAATACCATTACATAACCAAAACCAACAATGAATTATTCCATCTCTCATTACTTTAGGGATGCACAAATAGTACAAGTACTTACATTTGGGCCGATAATAAATACAGATATAAGTACTTAATAATAACATTACAGTTCTAACAATGACTTAGACGTTCCTCACTTTCTGACTGTAACAAATTAAATGTTGCTAATGTTGATGTAAATGTTCCTTGAAATATCTCCAAACTTCTGACATTGCTTCTTGTCCGCCTACCTGCTAAACTAGCGAGATGTTATGTAATGTCACTCTGCTGTAAAGTGATATTGGGTGCAGTCTAGCAGTAGTTTTATGATTATAATTACTAGTATACTGATGCTGGTATCAGTACTGGTGCATCCCTACATTACTCTCCAATTTCTTTACACTGACACTTAAATATAAAACTGCTTTCATTTTTTTGAAGGCTAAATAATTTCCTTGAAAACCTGGGGTGCAGTTTTAGCAAACATTAGTGAAAGTAGTGTATTTGATTATAACTATTTTCAACAGCAAAATGGTGTATGTGGGACGGACTCAAAATAAACTACAGTGCCCGTGTTGAGTGCAATGAAGGAACATGTCTCCCAGTCCAACAGTATGGCTCACTGGTGTGTTTTTAATAGTTTAATAGTAGTAGGTCTATGGCACAGATGATTAAGCTATCTCAGGCTTTGGCCAGACAGACTTTACTCACTGGGATAAGCTCTTAGGTTTAGTTTTTGTCATGGGATTTTTTGACAATAAGAAAAATAAAGAATATTGCTTACTTATCTTTAATATTAGTAGTAGCCACTATCATAATCAGTAATACAGGTCCTAATATCATATGAAGACAAATACAGATACTAAGAAGCACTCTTTTAAGCAAACTTGAGAAGTTTCGGCATGTACATGTGCATCTTACTATATTTACTCTTATTATATCTGCAATTATATGGTCAATCAGTCAGTAATTTAAAACAAACAAATTCATCTTTTCTTCAACAATGCCTCAGACTGACAATAAAAAATTGAAATATTGTCCTCCTGCTGCATTCTGATTAGCTTTTGTTTTTCATTGCTAATAATTACTCTAAGATTACTGTTAGATGACTCACCAGCCCTGTTTGGAATATGTAGCGCATGACTGCACCGCATACACCTACAGTGTCTGTCTACAGATTTACCCTTGTTGTGTGTCGATCTCCTCAGTGCTGGATCAGTAATTTTTGAGATGTAGCCCCTGGAAGTGTATGACTATGTAAAAGCACACGCATTCTATATATATATATACATAGATTGCTCAGAATGTAATCCCATTTCTAGATCTCACCATGCTGAAGGTTATTACCACACTCATAGCTCTGTGATAAGGCGATTAAGTTGTTTGTAAAGGGGGAATCATACAAAGGGAGAGGGATAGAGAGAGATAGAGAGAGCTGGAGAGAGTTTGAGAAGGAGGGAGCAGTTTGACAGGCATATAGTTGAGTCTCTAGGATTGAGCAGTTTTCCCCCAGGTGTGTGTATAAGTGGACCGGGCAGCCAGCCATGTCTCCCTACATTACTGCACCAGTAACAGCAGGGGACGGCCGACAGACTAAATCTCCATCTGAATGTAAATGTGACAGAGCCACTGCCCCGCTGTGGATCTAATCAAATTGCTGGCCGGGGAATAGCACACACTTACAAGCATGTGTGTGTAGATATATACTGTACCTACATATGCACTGATAAAGACACACACCTTCAAACACACTACTCATGTTCCCTCACAGCTACCTGTTTTCAAAGAAAATAGAGCACTGCAGTGGTATCTGTGTGAGAGTGTGTCTGTGTGTTTCTCTCTGTGTGTGTATGGGGGGTTGTTTGTGTTGAAGAGGATTCGAGGCAGATTCAGGTTTGGTCTCCAGGGGTTCCAGCATGTTTGTGTTGCTCTTTGTAGCTGTGAAACGGAAGCTGCAATAAACACTGGTCTTTCTACTTTGTAACATCATAAAGTGTGTTTGTTTGTTTGCATGTTTATACGAGTATTGTCCTCATATTCTCTTGCATTGTTATGGAAAGACAGCAAAATCAATCATCTGCAGCAACACGAATGAAATCAATTCCTAAATTTTGCATGCTGTATGGTAAAGCGTCCGTCTCCTATTTTAACAAGTGTGAGAGCCACTTATCCCATTGTATTCCAGGAAATGATGAAAGCAGTTATTGTCTCTGGTTTGAAGTATCATCATGAAAAGATCAAGTTGATAATCTCCCCTCCTGTTACTGCTCTGTCTTTGCTCTAGTCAGCCAAAGCCTTCCTTAAGGCTTGGAAGCTTCCTGGCTCTGTTTTGCCTTGATCCCACTGACACCTTTTAACAGATTCCTTATTTCCACTTCCACTCTCACCTGTTTTCCTGCCAGAAGTCCATTCTGCAGGGCCCAGGCAGACAGCGTGTTAAGGCCTTTCACCACAGCAGCTCCAGGGACCAGACTGAAGAACACACAACAAGGAATATAGTTGCTACTGTTTCCGTCTACAAACACACAGACTGGGAAAGGAAGGGTCTCACAATGGTGAGAATCAATGTTTCCACTTCAACAGAATAGACTCACAGCAGGATGTTCTGCCAAGGGAGCTGCAACCCCACAAATTTTTTCATTTCTTTTGGATTCAGTTGAGAGTTTTGATGTCTCATACTCTAAGTGGCATTTAGGAGCACTTTCCCTAAAAACACATCCAGTATTCAAAAAAAAAAAAAGTGCCACCTACTGTTGCAGAAATGATTGCTGACATTAAACCAAGATTTGTCTGGAGAAAAGTTAGCTTAGGTATTCATAACAAAAATAAAACATTACATTTATGATGACGAAAATGTTTACATGTACAGTATATTTATGAATAAGACACCCTTCATTTCTTCTCCAAACTATCAAAAGACTCTGTTACCTCTGCAGGTAGGCAGCATTGGCTTCTTGGTACATGCCTTTCTTCAGGTTGTTACTGAGGTCCACCAGCACCTTTGTTGTCCACCCATCAGCATCGACAGAGGAGAGGAAATAGAAGATACAAGTTGTTAAAACTATTAAATTATTTATAGTCTTCTCTCATACATATTACTGTTAAATATATATTTAAAAAATGGGAGAATGTTGATGTTGATAAAGGTGTGTACAGAAAGTAACCTGAAAAAATACTGATTGTGTATAGTACTTAGTTAACTAAGGCATTACTGTAATCACATTACTTTTTTTTTTACGTTGAGTAAAGTGGAGTAAATACAGACTGATTCTGAATTCATTTTCATTCTCTAAAACTTCATCATTTAATATTTTTATATTGCTTTATTTTTCAGTTCAGATAGGACTATTTCAATTATTTTTAATGTATTTTGTTCTATTTATTTCCTGATTTCAGTTTTTGCATTGCTGAAATGTTTAAATTTGGATTTTCCCTTCACTTCGCTTCTTTGTCTTGAAATTGTTTTTTTTTTATTATTATAAGTTGTTGTTGTTGAGCCACATTGTTTTGTCTTTAATAAAATAGCTGATGTGTGGGCTGATATTATGACTGAATTCAAAGTCAACTGGGATCAATATGTTGATTGTCGCACAATTTCTAACTACTACTTCTTTTTAAGTGGCTATTTGTAATTGACTATAACTTCTTGATTTGTTCCCTGTAACTACTCAGGACTTTGTGTACCATATTGTTAAAGATTCTGCATTTACCTTTCCTTCAAGATGAGATGCAAGTGTTTCCAGGAATTCATAGTGTTCTCTATGAACACAAATAAAGATCAGACTGGCTGACTGGGCTGCCTCTGCATGGCTCATCACCTGTATAAAGCACAAATTGAAGACATAAAAACACAAACACAATTTCTGGTACATCCAAGTTATAAGTTATGCCATGTATTTTACCTGAGCTCCCTGAGGCAAGGGGCCACAGCTGTGGGGTCTACGGCTGCCGTACACCACCCTGTAGCCAGACTGTAGCAGACGTAGGCCCAGAGAGCGCCCCAGGTCCCCCGTCCCAAAGATACACAGCAGCTCTGGCACTGGGGCAGCTGCTGTGCCCACAGGATGCAGCGACACACTCTCTGGCTTCATCTCCTCCGACATCACAACAGTCATGTTCACACACTGACTTTGGAGGGTCAGTGTTCCTGCTGTGTAGTTATATTGCTGTGGAATCTGACCTGTACACAGCCTCTCCCTCTTTGTCTTTGAGTGTGATTTTTAACCCTTTTCTGTCTGCTGTAACAGTGTGTGTGTGTGTGTGTGTATGTGTGCATGAGGTGAGGGTGAATTTGTTTATTACACCTATAATCAACACTTGATATCACGTGTTCAGGAGTGTGCAAGCATGCATCTTGTCATATGATGGTGTGTTTGCTACTGTGAGTCATTACGCAGCAATCTTAGAGTGTATTTATATTTCTTTATTATTGTATGTGCTTTACAGAGATTGATTGATACAGCAGGACTTTGAACTAATTTATAAATCACTTGTATGGGAAACCCTCTGTGCTCTGTGGATGTAACATTAACCTCGGATTCACTTTTTTTTTTCAACATTGTATCACTTTTTAGAAACACAGTCTGCTTTAAAGGCGATATCTAGTTCACCCAGAATTTGACTTTCACATTTGACAGAAAAAAACTTCTTATTCTGCTGCTTTCCAAGGCTGCCTTATTCTATTTCTTCTGTTCCCACACTAGACATGGTGCCACGTGGGAGATCCTGGCCCACAGATTCATTATCATTTCAAAACCCACTGTTCCAACCAAAGGACTGGGAAGAGAATTTGTGCAAATTTAGTGTTCATGTCCCCATGGCTAAAACATCTGCAGAGTTGTGACACGAACAGACTCAACAGAGCAGAAATGAAGCTTGGCACATGTGTAAGTGTTTTGTGTGCGGCTGTTTTACTATGTATGAATGCATGGCTTTGCTTGCAAGTGTTTGTTGGTGTATGTGCGGGTATGTGTGTGCATGTGTGTGTGCTGAAATGGGTCAGGATGATCAGAGTCTCAGCTGTGATGTGCAGCACCTGGGGATTTGGCTCTGCAGACAGGGTGACTACCTGGCTGTAGAAATGACACATAGCATCACATCAACTTTACTGACTATTTGCACAAAAATACGCTCCTCACCATAAAAGCAGCCTCATTGAAATGACAATGTGCACATACATAGCGAGCGATATTTATGGCAGACAAGCAGCGCGTTACCTCAGGAGCTTTTACAGTCAAGTCCATAACTAAAGCATTAATGTCTACCTGGGGGGATATCGCAACAAAATGAGAAATCATTTTATGCCTAACCTTTAAGGCATCCATTCACTTGTAGCACTGTTAGAATAGACCTGATAGCAGATCCACTTCGATGACTCATTTACTAGCTCTGCCTCCGGGACATCTCTCTTTTCTTCTCCTCTCCCTTCTCTCTCTCTCTCTCTCTCTCTCTCTCTTCACATCACCACTCTCCAGTATCTGCCCTTCTTGCTTTCTTTCTTTCCTTTGCTCTCTATTCTCTCTCACTCACTACCCTAGTGCTCTCCAACCTCTCCTCCAATCTTTCTCTAAATTAATAACTATTGAGTTCATTGAGTAAGTGAAGCTGGCTGTAATGATGTCATCACAGACCGTGTCTTGTGTTTGTCTATTTAATAGAACCACCACTTTGCTCAACCTTGAAAATCTTATCAAAGTTCACACTCCTATAAACACAAGCTGAACTCTTTTAAGGCCACTGATTTCTTCTGGGAAACTCCAGCTAATCCTTGAGATTTAATTTGTGGTTGATTTGGCGTCATCTGTGGTTACTGTTAGTAACAACAAATTACTTTTAATAATCCAGGTTCCACGATGACATTAAATAACAGGTGTCAACCACTAGGGGCACCAAACACCCCCTCAAGTGGCTAATTTGCAAGGAATGCAACAGAAGAAGAGCAACTTCTGCATCTGTTTGCAGTGCACCAAAAGGGCTGAGAGGATTAATTTCAGACGACAGTCGACAGTGTTTTCTGACACCGTCTTTTGTCTTCTGCATCACATCCAGTATGAACATTGCATTCTTTGTTACCTGTAAATCCCTGTGAGTATGCAATTTTAATCCCCTGTAAGACAGAACTTTACAGAATGCACATATGAAATATCTATCTTTATTTTCTAAATATTCCACTGTGTTCACCAGCTCCCTTCTAAGCCTGTAAACAACACTGATGCAGGTAGCTAGAGTGATCCAAAACCATAAGTTAAAAGGTGCTAAACTGCTCCTTAGAGATGAAGGACACGGCCGTGAGTTGGTTGATGATTCTCCTTGAGACAAACACACCCACTCACACACACACACACACACACACACACACACACACACACACACACACACACACACACACAAACACCTCTTCTTCAAGACTTTGAGTCCTTGAAGGTTTCCATGAAAGTCCACAGAGGATTTGAATCCATGTGAGTATTTTGTGCTTGTCTGAAAACATCTTGCGACATTTAGCAGTGATGCTCTCTGGGACATGTTTACATCAAACACATGCTGAACTGCCATTTTATAAATGCCAGGGTGGAGTTACTCATGTGAGAAACTGAGCACAAATTTAGTCAGTGTTGTGTTGGATCAGCCTGCAGTCCTGAAAAAAAACTTGCATGTAGCAGGGAACGTTAAACATTTATTCTCACAGCTTAACAGACAAAAATGAAGAATACTCATTTACAACTTTCACTGACAATGCTGGACTGCATGCACTACAAGCGAGAATGAACTGCTGTGGTTCTGGTCCAATTCCAGAGGGCGTTGATTTGGGAGTTTCCAGCTGTTTCCAGCTGTCAGAAGGCACACAGAATCATATGAGGCGTGGTTATTAAAGACAGTTTTGAGATACAGTGTGCATATTGTATGTAGTTTCATGCTGCTACAATGGACAAAGAACAGCTTGCAGGAATGGAAATCCATTGGGGTTTCCCCGTGCAGGTCTAGAGAGGTCTAGAACACACCCACACAATCCCCAATATGCCTTTTTAACAGAGTCACATTAAGAAACGCTCAGCTGTTATGTTCATATGTTTGCACAAGCAATATATCTGATGAACTCAGGATAATCTGTAACGCCGACGCTAATTTTTCGCTAGGACAGATTGTTTTAAGTTTTGTGCCGACTCTCACGGATCACAGGAGTTTCCCCCTTTGGCAGGTACCCAGTTTTTCCCAACTGGCGTCCCCCACTTCTGGTACGTACCGGAACCAGACTCCTGGGGCGTCTCCGAAAGACCCCTTTTACCTTTGTCACACACTATATCAAAAGTATAGCGTCACAAAAGCGGGACGGGTTTGAAACCGTTGGCTCGTTCGTTGTTGAGGAATCTCTGTATTTCAAAAACTCATTCCTCACACGTTCGTTTAATGAATTCTTAACACCAGTAGAATGTGCAAAGTTTACAGAGCTCTGGGTTCAACAACGATTAACCTGACATGCACAAGGTCTGCCAGTTCACGAGCAACCTCTTGTTCCTAACATCAGTTCTTATATTTTTGCAGATAACACACATAGCACCAGATGGTAGAATCTCCACCCCTCGTCCACTTGGTATCTCGACTCCAAGAATGGTGTTGTTGGGGTAGCCACAACCTGGAACTGGAAGGAGTCCGTCTGGCTCCATCATTGTTTTGTCTGATACTGACCTCGGAGGTCGTGTTTACCGCTATCTCTCCAAAAGAATGTCATGTTATATCTGCAACTACCCACACTCTTCTCCCTTATACTGTGCCTGCTATTCATATTCATTAGTAAGTTATAATTCTATAACACATCATACAAACATCTAATATTCCCTTAACAGCCCTTTATCAATGTAAGCATAATCAATGTAAGTACGAGTAAACATATTTCTATTCTAGTTAATAATCATACAGGTAAAAATATATAGTATAAATCACAGAATATCGCAACAGTTCTTTGGGATTTCTGTATATGATGGCTACTACTTTAATGCATTAGGTATGAGGTTCAGATTGAGGCTCTGACTGAGCTCAGGTTTTGAGGTTGTTAAAAACCAAACAGAGAAAGGTAGGAAGGCACAGAGAAAGATACTGTATATACAATGAGACACAAAGACAGAAACAGAGAGAGAATAGCAAACAGAGTGGGACATAGAAAGAGAGAGAGAAGGATAGATGCAACTTAGGAAAGCAGAAATTGTGCCTCAGTAGAACAAAGACGCTTGTTATAACCAGAGTTTCCCACAAGTATTCCCAGAAATATTCTATAAATATTCCATTACCAGCTTTCCAGACAGACTCGCCTGGGATGTTCATTATGAAACACTTAGAATAGGTTTAAGGAGAATCAGAAACAGTTTGGATGAAAGTGTAACCTATTTCTGTAGATATTTGTATTTGATGAAGTCACTGCTTCAGGACTGATGATATAAATGAATAGTTCATGTGCCTATGTATAGCATGCACACATGCATTTCTCAATGTTCTCGGATTTGTTTGTGTGACTTTCCATGTGTATCATTGTGTATGCTTGGTGTAACAGTATCACCATCTCCACAGCAGGCCTACATACCATATAGAAACATCTCTGAGCTCAGAGAGCCTCAGCCTCTATCTCTGCTTTAACAGGATGAGCATTGACTGCATGTTTGAAGTTCAGAATCTTATCTGGCAAGCCAAGCAGCAGAAATCAGAGGCGGGGAGGAGCTGCATGAAACTACAGATTTAGAGATTTTCCTCTCTCGTCCGACACACATCGCTGCTGAATTATATGGCCTTACTTTTTTGATTGTAGCCTTTTCAGAGGAGACTGTGACGCTTTGAAAATATCTCCACAAAGACAGTGCTTGCATGGGATTGTCTTATCCTCTCCTTGGAAAGCAAGCTTTGATAATCTCTTTGTTTCATCTAACTTCTTCCTTTCCCCTTCCACCCCACATCACTCCTTGTGTGATCTAAGATACATGAAACCAAACAGAGCCATTTTGGTTGCCATGCTGTGAGAGTTAAGATTGAAATCTCTGATGTATCTGTGTCATTCTATATAATCATATCTTTGACAAACAGCTGTGGTCTGCAAATAGCAAGCATCCACACTGCTCTTCCTTAGTGGCTGCAGGGAAATCAGCAGCCCATT